AGTTAACCGATACGTGCCAGCCCGTTGGGCCCTGTGAACGGGGCTAGCCCCCCGCAGGCTGCCCATGCTGCTGGGGGCACTTAACTGAGCATCGCAGCACTTGGTTGCACGGATACTATTTGTAACCTTTTACATCACTCCTCACAGCCACTGCCTTTCTGCTCTCATATAACACCCCTGCCCCCCAAGCCCCTCACAGCTTCCTTACAGCCCCTCACCACAGCGCCTCCTGCACACTTCCCTGCAAACCCCACCACCACCCTTGGCTTGTAGACTCATAGGATCCCAGGGCTAGAAGAGACCTCAGGAGTCATCAAATCCAGCCCCTGCCCAAAGCAGGACCAATCCCAATTGAATCAGCCCCGCCAGGGCTTTGTCAAGCCCGGACTTAAACACCTCTAGGTATGGAGATTCCACCCCCTCCCTAGGGAACCCATCCCAGTGCTTCACCACTCTCCTAGGGAAATAGTTTTTCCTAATATCCAACCTGGACCTCCCCCAGTGCAACTTGAGACCATCGCTCCTTGTTCTGCCATCCATCACCAATGAGAACAGCCTCTCTCCATCCTCTTTGAAACCCCCTTTCAGGAAGTTGAAGGCCGCTATCAAATCCCCCCTCATCCCTCTCTTCTGCAGACTGAACAAACCCAAATTCCTCAACCACTCCTCGTAGGTCATGTGCTCCAGCTCCCTAATCATTTTGGTCACCCTCTGCTGGATCCTCTCCAATGCATCCACATCCTTTCTATAGTGGGGGGCCCAGACCTGGACGCAGTACTCCCGATGTGGCCTCACCAGAGCCAAAAAAAGGAAATAATCACTTCTGTAGAGATGCTGGTAATGCTCCTTCTAATGCAACCTAATATTCCATTCACCTTCTTGGCTACAAGGACACACTGTTGACTCATATCCAGCTTCTCATCCACTGTAATCCCCAGGTCCTATTATGCTGAAGTGCTACTTAGCCATTTGGTCCCCAGCCTGTAACAATGGGGCTTACCTCCCACTTACATCTCTACCCACAACCACTGCCTCTAGGCTCCCCTGACCCGACACAGCGTCCCTAGTCACTATCTTACACCCCCATACACACCCATTGTAGCCGTACCCTACTCCCTCACAGCCACCCGCTTGGCACCTCAAGCCATTCTCTTACATGCACATCCCATGCAGGCCCCACAACCACCCTAGCTTACTCTCCTCTTAGATCTATCTACAACCCTTGACCCCCCCCCCAGTCTGTTGTCTGCTTTATTTATATGTAGTAAGATTTACTGATTTTAGGTGCTGCTGTTGCCATCACTAAAAAATTATCAGGGTTGTTTTCAATGTTCCCTCAAATTTTTTTATACATGTGCAGGATAAATTGTATGTGCATTCAGGCATATGTGGATGTGCACCACCAGTAGAAACGCATACTGTGGGCACTCTGCTAATCAGCTGAGCAGCATTTAAATCTCTCCTGATGGCAGCCCAAGTGCTCAGCTTATAGGGAACACTTGTTTAAAGTGTGATTTTAAAAAAATACAGTTAATGTGGAGAGGAAGTAGAGTGATATTTAGTGTTGACACTTCATTTGTCTTATTCTCCTGCTTTCAAAAGCAGCCGTTTGTGGAGAAAGAAAAAATCACTTCTTAAGTCTCCCAGTTTGCTTAGTATATTATATAGGTTTCCCCATTCACTATTTTGATGAAAGTTACGCAGGTGAGAATCCATATCCTCTAATTATAAAAGATATTTTCTTGATGTTACCTGCTTAGCCGAAGACATAAGGCTAAAGCACACATGATACGACTGTTATGATTTTCTCTCTGAATACATGTAAACTGCTTAAATAACAGTAACGATCCTTAGAAGGGTTATAGCGGGGCAGGCAATTATTTTTGAAGGGGGGCGGGCCCACTTCACAAGTTTCTGAAGTGGTTATGGGCTGCCCCAGAAGGGGCAGGGCCAGAAGGCTTTCCATGCTTCCCTGCTCGCAGACCTTGATTGGCCTGGCTGTGGGGGGCGTGTGTGATATCTTTGCCCAGCGCCTAGAGAGAACCGCCAGCTCCCCTGTTCCCAGGTCTCAGTTGGCCTGGGAATGGGGGAGTGGCGGGGAGGCTGCAGGCTGGATCAGCAGGCTTGGTGGGTCAGATTCAGCCCTCGGAATCTGACTTGCCTACCCCTGGGATAAGGGATTTGGGTGCAGGAGGGCCTGTGAGTGAGTTTGGGTGAAGGAGGGGGTTGTGATCTAGGGCAGGGGACTGGGGTGCAGGAGGGGCTACAGGGGGTTGAATTGCAACCTAAGGCAGGGGATTACAGTGCAGGGGTGTGACTCGTGCAGGAGGGGATTGTGACCTAGAGCAAGGGATTGGGGTGCAGGTTCTGGGAGGGGGTATGGGCTTTGGAAGGGGGCAGAGGGTTTGGCTTAAGTGGGATAGGAATGGGGGGGGGGCGCAGAGGGCTGGGAGGGGCTGGAGTGCCAGAGTCAGGCTCTGGCCAGGAGACTTACCAGTGAGACTCCAGCCAACAGCCCAGCTTGTTTCTCAGGCAGGAGTCTGCTCTGTGAATAAGAGTCTGAGGGGAGGGGGGAATGGTGCTTCACATGCTGCCTGTTTTTCAAACAGGCAGCTTCCATTAGCCAGAAACTGGTCAATGGGATTGTGCCGAGGGCGGGAGCAGCCATGAAGCACCACTCCCTCCTCCCTTCCGGGCTCACAGTTTGTGGAACACAAATGGCCCAGCAGCTGCTTTTCTGGGGGAGAGAGGGGAGGCAGGGCAGGTCAAGCAGGGGAGTCAGTCTGAGACTCCTCGCTGTATCCACGGGCCAGATCTAGTGGCTTGGCAGGCCAGATTCAGCCTGTGGAGGGTGTTTTGCCCAGGCCTGGGCTATAGAATGGCTTTTATCAATGTATCGTGTGACTAACAAAGTATAACCCAGGTCCTCTGCTGGAACATGATAGTTACTCATTCAGTTTCTCCTCTACCTTGTGTGAGAGCACCTAAAGAGGAATCTGCTGTTTGTCGAGTGAGTGCCCTAATCGCTGTACTGAGGACTGCTGGGAGCTGGCTTGTTCTCCATCTCTTGTTGAAACTGTTCTACTTCAATTATTAATTGGGTCAAAGGAAAAGGTACCTGTAAAAAGGCTTCCGTAGTTCAGAGGTTATGGCAGTGAGCTGTGATGTTGGTGGCCCTGGTTCAGTTCCCAGCTGTTCCTGTGACCGTGTGATTTGCTAACTAGACTTATAATTAAGTGGGCCCCAATAAGGGCAAAAAATACAAATCACTCTTTTGTCCAGGACTCCCACCTGGTCAATTACAGTTTAGAGCACTTGAAAATTAAGTACAAGTCCTTTGGCAGGAGAAGGGAACTCTATTTCAAGAACTTGACCATGACCATATATTTTCACCATCAGTAGTATTGAAAGCCTGCTACTAGCATAGTTTACCTTTAAACAGAAATTTACCACAGCCTCTGTGTGTGTCTTATGCTGGTTGGCATTCCCTTTCTTGCTCACAGCAGCACCCCTTTGCAGAAGCATTGTGGCAGTCTAACAGTGCTCAACTCACTGGATTTTGGAGCTCTGTGTGTGGGTCAGCTCAGGGGAAGGTTAGTACGATATGTCCTATGTGAACACTGCTCATGTTCCCTGCTAGCTTTGTACAAAACAGAAGAGAATTCAGCCCTGTCCAGTAACAAGAATGGACTTATCAGCTGTGATGGGTCAAGTAACCTAACTGCATGCTCGTATTTAAAGGCTTGCTCCCATTACCTAGTTGCGAGCAGTTTTCAGGGCCAAGAACTGAAACACTCATACTTGGTCACACATCAAAGGTGACCTGACAAGTTATTGGGTAACTACATTTCTGCATGTGGTGGCTTTATAAACTAGAATTTTCACTTGAATACTAGGCACTGACAGACCTGACTAGGGATGTTAGATAGTGGGTAATAGACTAGTTGACTAACTGCAAGAATTCTTAGCCATTAGTCGAATATTCTATAGTCCCTGGGGGTGTGACCAGCAGCCAGTGCACTCCAGCTGCACTCCAGGGGAGACTTCTGCCACCCACTGTGCTGCTGCTTCTGCATCAGAGCAGCAGTGTAGGGTGCCAGGCGGGAGCCTGGTCTATGATGGGAGGCAGTTTAAAAAACAGTGTGGGATGCAAAACAGCCTATGTCCACAGGGAGCTCGGACCCCCAGGACAGAAGCTGCTGCTGTGAAGCAGCCTCTGCCTGCAGTAGGCCTAAGCCCATGGGACTGGAGCAGTCCTCTGCCCAGGGTGGGCAGAGAGCTGCTCCAGCCCCTACCAGTTAAAGTGAACCAGTAAGCCTCATGTGTCAAGGGTTGGGCTTACCGGTTAAACTTTTACTTCCCTAGACCAAACGAGAGTTAATGAAGAATCAAGCAATAGCTGAATGAAGTTGTACCATGTATGCAAAGTTACGGCTGTTTTTGCGGCGGGTTTTTGTTTTTAACTTTCAGACTGGATGCCCAATAATGTTTAAACACAATGTGATACAGAAAAATGGCACCACTTGCAGCACCTACATTAACCCTGGTGAGGAACATCAGTTATGTGCTTACCATATGATAACTATGACATTTTCCCAAATATAAGACACCTTTTAAATCTGGCTGGTAGACTGAGTGAAGGAACATTTATTGCACGTTACAGCAGTGGCAGATGGACATGAGAACTGTCCAGCTCTATTTCTTTACCATTGAATATTTTGTTCACATTTGATCCAGCAAATCCTTTTGAGCAGAGTTTTATCATTTTTACTACTGGATTGCATACTATGTGGCAGGTAGCAGGAGGAGCAGGAACATCGTTTTTATCCCTGAACCTATAGCACTTTTACAGGATACTGCTACCTCTCTTCCATTGTTAAGATGCTCCTCCCTCCCTTTTCTCACCTTGCGTGTGGCCTGTTACTTACAAGGGGAAGCGTTTGTGGTACAGATTAGACAGAGTTTTGAATGTGTATGTTCTTTTTCAGATTGCTGATCCTGCAACCTGTGACCAAATGTATGAGAGTTTAGTCAGAATTCACACCAATTTCTATAAAAACAAGGTGAGCTCTTTGGTGCAGGGACCATGTCACTTGTATGTGTCTGTAGAGCAGCCAGCAAACGGGGGCCACAAATTGGAGAGAGGTTTCTGGGTGCTGATGTGATAGAAGTATTAATAATAAGCTCTCTGAGGTGATTTCTGGCACTTTCTTTGAGAAAAATAAAGCTGAACTCATTTTGAGTAATACAAGCCTTTGAAAAGTTCAGTTGTTTCAGAAGCATCTCTCACCACATCTGATGTGCTGCTGGAGATGAGTCTAAAGGCCACATGGTGGCACTGTGACTTTTTCCACTGCTAATATTTCAACAGTAATGTCTTGCTTAGGACTATGTAGGGATAAGGAAAAGCAATGCACTGGTTTTGGGGAGGGAACAGAGCGAGTTCTGTAGAGTGAATTCTTTTTTTGTTTTGTTTTTGGGAAGTATCCACGCCTAAAAGATACAAGCTTCACTGGTGTGACAGTGGAAGAATGCAAGCTGGTCCTGGCATCAGGTAATGAAGCTCTGTTTGATTAGTCTATGATTACTCTTCCCATTCACACTTACAGGGGTAGCTCGCACTGCTGCTACCTGGTCTAAGGGATCAATAGAATTTCACTCCTCAGGGTTCTTGTTGTGGCACTCTTTGCAAGCACTATTTTCCCATTAAAGACAAACATACAATATTTAAGATTTCAGTTCTGTATATAACCTTGTTTTCAGGGATCCCTGTGGTTTAGTTATGTTAAATGAAAGTACTACTACTATGTCCATGGCTAGACTATCTCAGGAGACCTCCATACAAGCATGGAGAAGTAATGGGTAAAATGAGCTTGTTGGTCAGATGTTTATCAATGCATGGGTTTGATTCAGTGATAGTTTCTGTTCAGGTCTTACTTAAAGTTTGGTGGCAGGGCTGCATGGAAGAAACTTACTGTATGCCTTCCACACTGTATGTGTTGTTACCTTAAAATTAAAAAATCCAACTAGTTTGTTTCAAAAGTTCTCAGCTATCTTCTCATAAGTTTAACTTTGCTCTTTACATCTTCCCTAGAGGTAAGGAGCCTTTTTTAGGGGTGGGGGGAGAGAGAAGAGTCAGCCATGCATGAATACTCATCCAGTGCCTTTATCAGATGGAAGGGACCTCAAGAATTCCTCTAGTCCAGTCTCCTACATTCATGGCAGGACCAAGCACCATTTAGATCATCCCTGACAGATGACTGTCTGACCCGCTCTTTAAAATCTCCAATGATGGAGATTCCACAACCTCCCAAGGCAATTTATTCTAGTGCTTAACCACCCTGACAGTTCAGAAGTTTGTCCTAATGTCCATCCTAAACCTCCCTTGCTTCAATTTAAACCCATTGCTTCTTGTCCTATCCTCAGACTTTAGGAAGAACTATTTTTCTCCTGTAACAACCCTTTTGTGTACTTGAAAGCTGTTCTCACCTTTCTCAGTCTTCTCTTTTCCAGACTAAACAACTCCCCTTTTTTAGTCTTCCCTCATAGGTCATGTTTTCTAGATCTTTAATAATTTTTATTGGTCTTCTCTGAACTTTCTCCAATTTGTCCACATCTTTCCTGAAATATGGTGCCCAGATCTGGACACAATACTCCAGTTGAGGCCTAGTCAGCGTGGAAAAGAGCAGAAGAATTATTACTTGTCTTACTTGCCCCAAAAAAAAGCACACATCACTTTGGGATGTATTAGTAGGACTGTTGCAATGGTGTTATGCTATTGCCTCACATTTAGCTTGTGCTCTACTATGACTCCCAGATCCCTTTCTGCAGTATCCCTTCCTAGGCAGGCATTCATTTCTCATTTTGTATATGTGCAAATACTTTTTTCCTTCCTAAGCGGAGTGCTTTCCATATGTCCTTAAGAATCCAGTGTGACTTAGCTCTGTGTCCGCTCCTAACTCTGATGGCAAAGACCTCCTTCTGCACTAGTTTGTTTGAGGAAAAAAACTTGCACCCATGCACTGAAATACTTTAGATTGAGGCTTGGAGAGTCTGTTGAGCAGAAATCTCATCCACTTTTCTGCCTTCCCTCTTCTTCCCCCCCAATGCAGACACAGGGAAAGAAAATGGAAAAAACTCCGAGAGAAGTTCTCTGTAAAGAATGCTGAAGAGGACTCCAAGTGATAACCTCTCTTCCCAGCCCTGTTTTGTATAGATTCCTAAACCACTGTATATTGCCATGATAAATAAAGCCACTCATTCCTCTTAGCAACATCATTTCCATTCAGATCTGTGCTTGAGACCCTCCATTTTATTCTAAAATCTGGGACTGGTTTTTGGCATTTCCAAAAATGATTTGGAATGAATATACTAATTGCAGGGGACAGTGGTTTGTATTGGTGGAAAATGAGACAGTTGGGGTGGGGCAAATTTGCCTGCTTGGATACTGTGGTAAAAATAACAAATTGTCCTAACCGTGATCTAATATCACAAAAATACAGCTGCCAAGATCTTATGGTTGTCCTCTTCTGACTGGATATTGACTAATTCTTGTGTGCATGTGTCACTTTGTTGCACATACTGTGGTTTAAAGAACAGGTGCTAATGACTTGACTCTCCATGCTGCAGATCCAAGGTCAAACTCTGTATCAGTCCAGCTTCTGCAGCCGATTTAAGAGTTACTGCATACTTTGGTAGAGGCACCAGTGTCTGGTCCTGGGAGCCAGAGCACTGCTCAGTTGGTGCAGTACCCCATGGGAGGTGCAGCTATACAGCTGCTTGGAGAGGGAACAATCTCTCTCTAAAACATGGACCTGCATTATGCGTGACTCTAGGAAGCATTAATGGCCTCTTGCTGTTATGCATTTCAACAGTTTTCCCCATCAAGAACTGAAACCATCTGAGGTTTGCAGTGGGATCTTAACTGAAACCCCACAACTTGACTGCTTAAGTTTATGGTACCTCTGCAATAAGAGATCCTTGTATGTCTATTGCATGCCTCACAATCTTCACAATTGATTTTTCTTTGGGATAGGGACCTGTACCTTGCTTAATATGGCCCTACAGCAGGCATGTCCAAAGTCCGGCCCGCGGGCCAATTGCGGCCCGTGTTCCGGTTTAATACGGCCCCTGCTTCCTCCCCCTCTCCTGGCTCCCCGGCGCTCTTTTGAACTGGCGCCCCCCGCCGCCCCCGCCGCCACCCATGGCCTTCGCGGTCCTAGAGCCTGCTCTGTAGGGCACATCTGCAGCCCCGCTCCCCCACTCAGCTGCCGGTTCGCCCTGCCCCCGGGCCACCGTGAGGCCGGCGTGCCCTGCGCTCTCCGCCCGCCTCCGACCCCGCGGGCCCTCCGCCTTGGGGCTGAGAGTGCGGGGACGGCCCTCACGCATGTTCACTTCTTCAAATCTGGCCCTCTTTGAAAAAAGTTTGGACACCCCTGCCCTGCCCTACAGGATTGAGGCCTCTAGGAACTACTGTCTCAAATATTATTAATGCATCACAGCTCTCCCATTGTTGAGAGGAGGCTCTTGAACCTCATCTCAGCTTTTACTGACTTGATTTTGTGTTAACTTAGTTAAGGCAATTTACATATTAGTTAAGTAACAACAAAATAAAAAGTTTGTAAAACATCACACCAGAGATGAAAATAAAAACAATACCTCTTCACAGTGCACTGCTGTAGACCTGCAATTTCCCATATAAAGTCCATCCACAGAAGATAAAAGACCAGTGTCAAGTTAGCAACAGCTTAGCTGTTGCTCATCTTCATCAGATGTATTGTACTGTCAATACATCTTGTTAAATTTACTGCTCATCAGTGACAGATGGAATTCTTAAAATGATTCTGAAAATCAGTGTTGTGAGGTACTGTGAACAAGATGTGTGGCTTGCAAAGTACCATGTCTGTAATGGACTTTCTGCTGCCTACTTGGTATAAGTTATAGTGCAACCCTATCATTGCTAGTAACAATATTAATGCTATCCTTTCTGGATGGGCATAGCCACCAAAGTGTAGTGTGTGGAGATAAAGAATTAATGTTACAGAATAAAAAGTTATTGCAATGAAGAACTCAAGTCCCAAATAATTTACCTTCCTTTGAGGGCATTAGGATAAATTGTGGGTTCAGGTACTGTGAAGAAATCTGGTAACTAAGTTGTTCGTGACTCTTGCTGGGCAAAAAGTTTGCAGAGATGTAATCAAGAAGGAAAAGGCTGGCACTGGAGCCCTACAGCAGTAACAGTCTAGGCTTTGGTCCGGCTTCTGAAGATGAGATCTAGATGCAGACTCCAGTGAAAACATCCTCGTTAGCTGATAACATGTACTTAGTTAGCAAAGCTGATGTATTCTTGTGCTTCAGTGATTCAAGGTGTTCTGGACATCCACAAAACCCAACCGCTGTCTGCGCTTCCTTTGTTCTGTCATCTAGAGTTAAAATAAGGACACAATGTAGTCAGGAACACAAAGTACATCTTCACACAATCCACAATCAATCTGTGAAACTCACTGCCAGGGGATGCTGTGAAGGCCAAAAGTATAACTGGGTTAAAAAATAATTAGCTAAGATTATGGAGCCTTGGTCCATCATTGGCTAGTAGAAACCCTGTGCTGCAAGTGCCCCTAAAACTCTGGGTGATAGGATGGTTCACTTGAAATTGCCCTGTTCTCTTCAGTCCATCCAAAGCATCTCATACTGGCTACTGCTGTAACAGGGAAACTTGGGCAAAATACCCTGGCAGAATGAGCAACTAAAACCGTTTTTCCCCTCCCCAGCCATGCAGATTGTAAAAATCTGCCAAAGGCAGCATCCATCTCTGCATGCTACCCTAGCCACAATATGACCCTACACATGTTTCAGTTACTGCCAGTCTTGCTTTACTGCTTGGGGTTTGTGCTCTGCCATTAAGCTATCCCCATTCTGAAGCATCCCTGTTTAAACTATTTACAATACCTGCTCTTTCAGCTCGTTCAGCTGTGAAGTGAGGTAAGACACCAGCTTCATAGTGGAGTTGAGTTTCTCTTGGAGGTTCCGGATCTCGTTCTGTTCCCCTTCTCCTTCGTTGCTGACCAATGACATGGCTCGCATCCGGGGGAACCAGTCCAAGTTCTTGTTCTGGAATGATGAAAACTTCAGGTTGTGGGGAGGAGCCTGATTTGAGCATACGTGCTAATTCACAAGAACTAGGTAGCTGGCCCAATAAACTCTGTTGCTAGGGGGATGGTAGAAACATTCAAGATCCTGGGGTCCCCGGTACCTTTGTGGAGTCTCATTAATTGCCCATTAATTTTCCCAGCTGTTTTTTGTAGACTTCCAGATACAAAGCAATCCCATAAATTTGACTGTAGGGCATTCAAATACTTGTCCTATACCTTCCTGCCCCCAACCTTTGTCACTGCCTTGAATTCACAATAACTAGGCTGCCCCCCATACTGCTTTTCAGAAAGTCATGGCTTATTTGAATATCCAGTATGTGACTATGTAATATCCAACAGAGGATGCCTGGTTAGCTGGGCCTAAACTGGAAGTAATCAAACCAGGAAGATGTGATAGGGTTTTACCAAAGTAAAAAAAAAAAGAAAAAAAAGCCAAGTGTATCTTAAAAAAGTACGTTTTCTCACCAAGCCATTGTTTTCTAGGGGGGAAAGCTGTCACTATGCATGACACCCTGTCGTAGGCAACACGTACCTTTATCATTTGTGCCACGTAACTTTCAGGCCCGGTGTAATCTGTCTTATTCTTCACTCGCACCAGCACAATGAAGTACAAGTAATTCCACATGTTGTGCTCATATTTAATGTGCTCTTCGAAGGACACAGTCTTATTATCAAATTTGTCCCTTTCGAGACCTGGAAGAGGCAGTGGAGAAAAGAGGGAGTGAAACAAACAAGTGTAAAAGGAAGTTCAGATAATTGCATCCTATCCCAGGTAGGGATGCAAAAGGTTAACCGGGCTGGGTGGTGGGAACGTGAACAGGTCAGGACAGCAGGTGTGGCTGCAGCAGCAGCCCTGGCCCTAAACCTGCTGCGGGTGGGGGCAGATTGACAGCGCCGTCCCCAGCTATATTCTGGGCCTCTCTGGCTGCGCAAGCAGCCCTGGCCCCACCCCCACCCCCACCCCCACCATGGCCTGGGCAGGAGCAGGCAGGACCCCGACCCAGCCATGCTACAGCAGCAGCTCCAGTCCCGACCACGCCAGCAGCCCTAGCCCTGGACCTGCTGTGCCCTAGGCAGGGGAAGAGGGGACCCTGGCCCAGCTACACTGCAGCAGCAGCTCTGGCCCCAGCCTGCCCCAAGTGGGGGCAGGCAGGACCGTGGCCACAGCGCAGCAGCCGTGCCATTACTGCCCATGGTCCCATAAAACTCCAGCCCTGGCTGACCTGCACCAACCATAAACCAGCTAACTGATATTTTGATCATTTAACCAATTAGCTGTTTTGAATGATATTTACATCCCTAAGTAAATTACTAGCTGAAGTTGCTAGTGGATCACTGAAAAACTAGCAGGCTTATAACAGATACACCCATAGCTGTTTATTTCAAGAGTGCAGAGGGAAGAAATGGGAGTCGACCTTTTTATGCTGCTTTATTTTGTGTAAAGATGACTTATTGTTCCTGTTTGTTAAAACTTCAGATCTTGTCTATCCTAGAAGACTCCCTGTCTCACTGAAGAACTAGCAATTCAGCGTTTTGTTAGTCTTTAAAGTGCTACCAGACTATTTGTTGTTTTTTAAGTTTTTTCTGTTACAGACTAACTCAGCTACCCCTCTGAAACTTGGTGTATCTGTTATTTACCAAATGCTCCCATCTACTTCCCTTGCTCCTCGTGATGAGTAGGACTACCGGTGCCAATGGGGGCGCCCTCTGAGTTCTAATTAGTGGGTCTTCATTAGACCTGCTAATTCAAATGCTTGAAGATCAACCGCTGGAGGGTCGATCGTCTCGGTGGTGTAGCCAAGCCCAGAGTGTTTTAGTTAAAGCTTATTTATCAAAAAAACAACAGTCGGAATAAACACAAAAAAATTTCCTCTCTCACCAATGGTGCCATTTCAGGAGAGACAGGGGACTGCAGCGGTACATACTGGGATGCTGCTTGGTCTTCTTCCGGTTCCCCTGACTGTCAGGGAGCGAGGGGAAAGTACACGGCTTGTGTGCGTTCCTCTCCTGGCTGGGGAGGGGAAGGCACAGAGGAGTAATTCATGCAAGCTGTGTACATTCCCCCTGCTCCTTGATAGTCAGAGGAAAGGGAGGAAGAATAAGCAGCGTCCCGGTACACATGGCTGCAGTCCCCCGCCCTTCTGACCTCCTGAAACAGCTGCTACTAGAATACACACGTAAAGGGCTCAATCTTGTGAAGACCTTGGTGACGGAATGCGTGTGTTTGTCCGATGTTTTCTGCCCTGGAACTCACCACATATGAAACATGTCGTCTTAAGAACTTCTTCCTTCTTTTGCTTCTCACTCCTCAGATCAGCAAAGGTGTCTATGATGACACCAAAGATGAGGTTGAGGACAATGATGATGACAATGAAGAAGAAGAGGAGGTCGTAGATAACCCGAGCAGGGAACAAGGACTCCTGCAAAGGACAGAATGAAAATAGCCATGAACAAAGGACAATATGGCTCTCTCCCAGTCGTTAGATCAGTGGTGGGCAACCTGTGAGCCAAATGCAGCCCATTGGGGTTCTATGTGTGGCTCACGAAACATTTTGTTGACTGTTGCCCATGTGAAGTGTTATCAGATGCTTCTGGTTTCCATCTGTGTAGTTTTTTCCCCCCTGCCAGTACTACTCAAGTGATACGCACACAAAGCAAGGACATGTAACATAAGGTGCATGCTGATTGCACACAACATTGACTGTGAAAGCTGTGCAGTCCAAAGTGCTGCTACAGTTCAGTCAGCACCAGAGTTCCCTCTAAGGTGCGCCTGCATGGCCGTGAACAAAAGTTCTTCCCCCGCCCACTTCTTCTGGAGAGCCCAGGCAGCTGCAGGCGTGGCCGAGGCAGCATGGTGAGGGAGCCACTGGGGTGAGGGGCCAGGACCTGCCACAGCCACATGGCAGGGGGGGCTGCTCCAGGGGCCCAGGCTGCCCCCTGGGGGGGGCGGGGGGCATGCCCCCTGCCACATGGCCAGGATGGGGGGGGGAAGGTCTGCTTTGGTGGCCGGGAAAGGGACATGCTGGACGGCGGGAATGGGGAGGATTCTGCTCTGGCAGCCGAGAGAGAGAGGGTGAGTGTTAATAAACTGGGTGCCATGATGGCACACATCCAAACCAGCATACATGACCTCAGTATTGGTGCACAAGTCAATACTCTCTGCTCATGGTTGGAAAATCTTAGAGGGAACACTGATCAGCATGCCCCACACATAGACTCATAGACTTTAAGGTCAGAAGGGACCATTATGATCATCTAGTCTGACCCCCTGCACAGTGCAGGCCACAGAATCTCACCCACCCCTCTTAGAATAATCCTCTCACCTATGTTAGGTTCACAAGCGCAGTGAGCAAAACTGCCCTGGTCTGGGAGACTGTCTTCGTTACAACAATCCTGCAGCCCACTGAGATGTAGGAGGCCACTCATGAAGCCCATTCACTAACCTAGGTTGCCCATGACTGCATAAGATCATGCTGCTTCTTTACAATGGTCAGAGAAAAGGCTTAAAGCCAAGGTAGGAAGAGGCTAATGGAGGGGCTAAGATCTAAATACCATGTCATGAAGGAAATGTAGAGTACTAATGGCGTGGAAAGAGGCATAAGCATAGGTGATGGACAAGATTAAGGGGTGTAATGAAGAAAACGTAAGACATTAGCGGGGTAAGTCAGTATAAACATGGAGAGACAAGTGAAGCAGAGAATCGGTCCTTGAGTGGAGTTTGCCCAGTGCCGAGTTAACTCACATCCTTGGATGGCTTCCTGAGAATGTCGCCCACGCCCCCTCCGTTCCTCAGGCCATGGTTCAGCACCGTGACGATGCACATGAGCAGTGTGTCACAGGCACGCTCTGACTTATCCTCATCATCATCTGGAACACAGGCATAAACCAGTCAGGAGAGGACAGATAAAGAGATCAGCCCACCAGACTGAGCCAAGCGGTGCAGAAAAAGTCACTGGTTTTGGAGTCTCTCAGGGTGTCTCTAGACTACAGGGGGTTTTTTGAAAAAAAGTGGTTTTTCGAAAAAACTTCCCCTGCATCGAGACTGCCGCCACGTTCTTTTGAAATTAAATCGAAAGAACGCAGTGGTTTTTTTCGACTGCGGTAAACCTCATTTTACGAGGAAGAATGCCTTTTTTCAACAGTGCTCTTTCGAAAAAAGGTGTTCTTGAATGCAAACAGGGCTTTTTCGAAAGAGAGCATCCAGGCTGCCTGTGGACTCTTTTGAAAAAGCGGCTTGATTTTTCGAAAGAACTGGTTGTAGTCTAGACATATCCTCAAAGGGTTTTTCTTTCCTCCTTTTATCTCCTGGAAGCAGGTGGTTGCATTATGTACCAGAACTAGCAGCAGAAGGAGCCCAGGAAACTCAGACTGGTTAACAATCTTTAACAAGCTAGCTGGAGGGGTCCCTCCTTGGAGAATGTTTTGCTGCTCAGCCTGTTCACAGCACAGGAGAGAGCTGTTCCCTCTTTGCCCAGCAGAAGAGAGCGGGAGCCTGGACAGCACCTTGATGACCTGGAAGGGTCAAGCAGAACTTCTCTGACGACTGGAGCTCCCTCTGAAATCCCTACTTTTTAAGCTCACCATTTTAACCCTTGCTGGACCACTCTCAGTCTGAAGGGACATGGCTTAGTTACGTGTTAGCTGCTTCTAAGTAACTCTATTTAAGGGAATAGATTTTGCCCAGCTGACTGAAATGAGAGGGAACCACCTTGCTCTATATTCTGGGCAGTTTTCCCTGTAAGCTGAGTGCTTGGGTGGCCACCTAGGAGAGATTGAAATGCTGCCCCGCTGATGAGCAGAGTGCCCACAACACCCACAGCCAACAGCATGTGCTTCTATTGGTGATGCACGTGCACTTGCCTGGTGCACATAAAATTTATTCCACCCAGATAGAAAAAAAAGTGAGAGGGAACACTGGTCCTGATTTCCATGGCCTCTATATTCATTCAGTGGGATTCCTGCCTAGGAGCACAGGGAATGTCCTGGCTGGGAAGGATGTGGAACCATTAAAGAGGTTTCCTTCAGGAAGTCTGCTGGAAATCTAAATCCCCAGTCCAGAGAGTATTTATACAGAAGGTCTCCCTCTTGGCTCACTTTTGCAGACGTTTGGATCGCTTGGCTAAAGTCAGCAGCTGAACACTTGGGTGCTTATCCATACTTTTGAAATGCTCACCTGGCACTCATGCGGTTCCTTCTAATGACTCATGGGGAGATAACACATAAAGACCAGTAAGCAGCTAAGATACAGTCTCAGAACGCTTGCAAATCTGAGCAGATGTGCGTCTTACCGTGTTAGAAGCTTTTCAGGCCAAGATTTTTTAATGGTGTAGTTACCTCTCAGTACATCAGGCACAGCAGAGCAGCTAATTTTGTCACCACTGCATGACTCCATAAAAGCCTCCATGTTCTTTTGCATCCCCAAGGGGCCATCTGGAAACAGAAGAGACTGTCATGGTCAGAGTGCTGGGTACAGAACCACTGGGCTTAGCAAAGCCCTGTCCTCGGATTGGGGGCTCTCCTTCACCGCCCCCAGCTGCAGCTCAAAAGGGATTGGTTCTCTTGGGTTCCTTTTCCTCATTGTACCTCATTCCCGTTCATCCCACCAGCGCCAAATGGTAAAGCTCCAGTCACTGACACGGTGTCAGTGCTGATCCCTGCTGGCAATGAGAACAGGCCTGTCTAGCACACTAGCTGCACCAGAGTTCCACTGGAGCAGCGTTCCCTTTAAGCTGTGCACTTGTGCAGCCACTCAGGAGAGATTCAAATGCCGCCCAGCTGATTAGTAGAGTGCCCACAGCTAGGTTTTGTGTTTCTACTGGTGGTGTCCATTCACACATGCATTGGAGCACAACAAAAAGTATTCCATATAGATAAAAACTGCATGGATGGAAAAGATTAGAGGTCATGAGGTATTTTTGAGCCCTCTGCTCTGTTTTCAAATGTGGGGGCCTTAAGAGAACAGCTGTAGTCCTGAAGCTTCCATTACATCTGTCTAGAACCACTACCCCATTCCCTTTTACCCCCCAAACTCCAGGGTCCCCTTGCCTAGGGACTGCAGTGCTGATTGCTGCTGTATTTGTAGCACCCAGGAGCTCAGTGGGACCAGGATTTTGAGCCTTAAAATACTGCATCTCATGTCTCTTTTTTGAAAAAGGTGTTATTCCCCCCCATTTTACAGATGGGGAAATGGAGAGCTAGCCTGGGGAAGTGACCTTTGCAAGATCACACGGAGTCGATGGCAGAATCTGGAAGAGAACCCACTACTACCTAACCCCTGCACTACCCACTGCACCACAACCCACAACTGCATGGCAGAGCAAGTGTAGAGACCTTTGGACTTGTTGTCAGGCAGCCGGTCCACCTCCATGATAAAGTCATCTTTCAGGAAGAGGAAACCCACAATGGAGAAGAGGTAGACAAGGATGAGCGCCAGGAGGGCGGTAAGCAGGATGGAGCGCCCGTTCCGCGTCACACTTTTTATGACATTAAACAAGGTCTCTTCACGGTAGATCAAGTCAAAGAGCTGAAAGGACAAAACGGGCTCATGTGGACATTACTTAGCAAGGGGAGAAATGCAGCAGCAAGCTGTTGGTGTTACCATCTAGCCTTTCTATAGCAGCTTGTAGCCTAGTCCTCAACAAATCTACATTTCACCAGGGTGAGTAGCCAGAGAACAAAGAGGTAAATGCCAAACTCATGCTGAAATCAATAGGAATTAGGTTCCTAAATACTTAGACTCAGACTTTAAGGTCAGAAGAGACCATTATGATCATCTAGTCTGACCCCCTGCACAGTGCAGGCCACAGAATCTCACCCACCCCTCCTAGAATAATTCTCTTACCTATATCTCAGATATTGAAGCCTTCAAATACTTTGAAGACCCCAAGATGCAGAGAATCCTCCAGCTGTGATCTGTATCCCATGCTACAGAGGAAGGCGAAAAACCTCCAGGGCCTCTGCCAATCTACCCTGGAGGAAAATTCCTTCCCGACCCCAAATATGGCAATCAGCTAAACCCAGAGCATGTGGGCAAGACACCCAGAAAGTTCTCTATAGTAACTCCTATCATCCCTCCATTGACCTATTTATCACTGAATGAATGGTCAATTAGTTACCAAGATCATGTTATCTCATCAAACCATCCCCTTCATAAACCCATCTAGTTTAATCTTGAAGCCAGATAGATCTTTTGCCCCCACTACTTCCCTTGGAAGGCCGTTCCAGAACCTCACTCGTCTAATGGTTAGAAACCTTCGTCTAATCTCAAGTCTAAACTTCCTACTAGCCAGCTTATATCCATTTGTTCTTGTGTCCACATTGGTATTAAGCTTAAATAATTCCTCTCCCTCCCTAGTATTTATCCCTCTAATATATTTAAAGAGTGCAATCGTGTCCCCCCTCAGCCTTCTTTTGGTTAAGGTAAACAAGCCAAGCTCCTCGAGTCTCCTTTCATAAGACAGGTTTTCCAATCCTTGGATCATCCTAGTGGCCCTTCTTTGTACCTGTTCCAGTTTGAATTCATCCTTCTTAAACATGGGAGACCAGAACTGCACACAGTATTCCAAATGGGGTCTCACCAATGCCTTCTATGATGGCACTAACACCTCCTTATCCCTACTGGAAATACCTCGCCTAATACATCCCAAGACCATATTAGCCTTTTT